AACTATAAATATGTAACTGCAATTTCTGAACATTATTGAGAAAGGAGCTGTGGTATCCAAGCCACATCATGGAAGAACAGTTTGCAAAGTGTATTAATTGCACTTCATATTTGGATCCTCCGAATTAAAAAAATAGACTCCCGCTTGGCTGGGAATTTATGTCTATTTAATGTTAACACATTCATTTCTGAGAAAGCGCTTGCTCCCAAATAGCCACAAGAACATCTATGAGTATATAATAAATGTATAAAGCCACAAACAAGGAAAAAAGATTTTCTAAAAAGTGTAAAAAAGACCACACATACATTTCTGGTATCGGTATGCATTATACATACTTTCTCAGAAATATTTCAGAGGGGTCTTTCAGAAGGTTCTTTTAAAACATGCTTAATTGAGAAAATTTATCACAGTACACACATCTTTCTAATTAGATGGAATAAGCTGGATGATTAGAACTATACTGAAAAGTATTAAAAGATTCATGCAATTTCTTTTTGTATAACTAGAAAGGAATTTTCAAAAACTATAAAAAGAGAATGTAATTGTGCAATTGAACACAGAATTAAATATTAAGATCAAACCAACAAGGCAAGTAGCATAATAGAATAAATTATATAAGCAGTTAGTGTCAAGGCCTAATTTAAACAGAATGTCTTAATTATGCAAAAGAGCTGAGTTAATGTAACTCTCTAAGGTTTCCTTTATTATTTTTCAATAAAGTCTCCTGCAAATCTACAGCAATGAGCTGGGAGACTGTAAAACTGCCATCGTCCATTAAACTTAATTGTCGATTCTGCGGCAGAAATCTTTTAAGAAAAGAGCTTCCCAGAGGGCTTGAATATAGGGTCACTTAAGAATTGAGTTACTTTTATTCTGATTGTAAATTGTCTTCAACAGAGGTTACAGAATGATGACAAGTAAATACCTCACTGCAGTGATTGACTTCTCAAACGTCAGTTATAGAAATCTAATATGTGAAATGTGATGAAGGGTTTAAACAACCAGTGAAACATTTCCATCTATTTCAGAATATAATTAAATTCTTATTTTTAAGATTATTATCTTACCAAAACATAAGGGTTTAACCAAGAGAGAGTGGTATTAGATATTCTTTCCAGTGGATTTTTTTCAATGCTTCCACTGATTTCATTTGTTTGACATGTGTTTGTCCAGTTCACTGACTCAGTAAGGACTTAACATAAACTATTTCTAAGTTGCACTAGATTTCTATCTTCAACATGAAGATGGCAAAAAAGCTTCCTTCTACAGGACTGGATTGCCTGTATACTTAGGATAGCTTTTAGATTATGAAGAATGTTAAGTATTATCAAAACCCCACCTGAAAGAATGATTACTAATCTGTTTTAAGATCCAAAGCAATTGATTATTTCAATAATCATTATAGAGGCCAATGAAAATACTATACTCAAAGATGGCATAAATTGAATAGGGTAAAATGGTAAAATGTGGCTATGTTCCTTGGTTTGTCGTACTAAAGAAGTTAATGCTTTAAAATAAACATAGTTTCCTTCAGATACAGCAGAATTTAGGTTTACTACCCTATTTTTCTTAATCAGAGGACATAAAACTATAAAGTGATCTATAGTGGAATGGCCAGATCTGAACCCTGCCCATTTATGATTATTGTTTAATTATTTCCCCACAGCTTCAGTGCTGTCATATCTATTTCATGTGCATTGCTATATTGTTCCATTTATGATAGCAAAAGAAATCTTGTCTTTCTTTTATTACTACTTATGCCAGGTCAATCAGAAGAATTTTAAATTACCTTCTTTTATTAGACGAAGCAATTTTGTTACGTATAATACTACAAAATTTGGCACAGCAACAATTGATATCCATGTGTTCTGCTAAATAATAAGCTCATATAGTGTCTTACAGAAAAGTTTTAATTATAGACATTTAAATGTCATTTTATCTTTGGGGGGGGGTGTCTCTGATCCTTGGTCAAAATAAATTGAAATAATTAATATCCATGGATTCCAATTTTCAGATTTAAAGAATGATAATGATTTATCACAACAACTATAACGTTAATGACATCACTGTCATCTGTTTTATTTGGCTTACCCCAAAAGTCTACTTTCTTGGGAATTACAGATAATTCTTCTAAAATATTTTGTCATTTTATCAATTTTGTCCTTGTAGAAGTTCAGAAGCAAAATTAGTTTCCTTTAGTGTGTTTTGTAACTGTATCCCTCCATTCACTTGACAGCCCTCTTCCTACTGGACAGTCACTTAAATGTGAGCCAGCAGCGTGCTACAGCTCTCAAAAAGGCTAATGCAGTCCTAGGCTGCATTAACAGAAGAATACTCAAGATCACATGAAGTATTAGCGCTACTTTATAATACCTTCATAAGATCATGCTCAGAATATTGCATCCAGTTTTGATCACTACAATGTAAAAAAGATTTGAGACTCTAGAAAGAGTGCAGAGAAGAGCAATAATGACGATTAGGGGACTGGAGGCTAAAACATGAAGAACGGTTGCTGGAACTGGATATGTCTAGTCTTATGAAAAAAAGGATTAGGGATTAAATTATGGCAGTGTTCCAATATCTAAGGAGCTGCCACAAAGAAGAGGGAGTTAACCTATTCTACAAAGCATTTGAGGGCAACACAAGAAGCAACAGATGGAACTAATCAAGAAGAGATCCAACCTAGAAATAAGGAGAAATTTCCTGACAGAACAATTAATCAGTGAGTCAGCTTGCCTTTTGAAGTTGTGGATGCTCCAACACTGGAGGTTTTTAAGAAGAGATTGTATAACCACTTATCTGAAATGGTATAGGATCTCTTGCTTGATTAAGGGGTTGGACTCGAAGACCTCCAAGGTCCCAAGGTCAAACTGTGTTATTCTGTTAATTCAAAAAGGGAATAGATCAAGCAATATTTACCAAATATAGCTGGATCCAGAGTAAGTTTTCAAGAGAGAGCAATATGTAATCATACTATAACCTCTCCCAAACTGAAGCACTGCTACTCCTGCATCTAGTTTGTTACATCTTATCTGCTGCCAGAAAGATCATGGATCAAGTATACAAGAGAGTACCTATGCTAGAAAGAAGTATACAAGAGAGTACCCATGCTAGAAAGAAGTATACAAGAGAGTACCCATGCTAGAAAGAAACCAATCCATTTCTTCAGAGACCACTGATCAAAAGAAGTCTCAGATAACATGGTGGGTTACTGCTGATGTCACCACTATGAACTCTGACCATTAGAAACCAGGATCTCAGCAAATCCAGGTACTTTATTGGTAGAATGCTGAACAAAATAGTGATAGAAGCCAAAAAGGCTGGCCTATTTGTGTTCTCCTTTCTACAATCCTAAATAAAATAACTGGTCAATGGTTTATTTATGCAATAAAGGAGGAGTAATGATATATCACCTTGCATCATCACAGTGTAGGCTCAAGCCTGAGCTTGTATCTGTATTTAGTCAGTCTTCTACTAATGTTGTGACCTTCAATTCTGTCATCTGATCTGAAATTCACACTAGGATTGATGCATTAAGATATGCTACTTCAGATAATTTATAAAGAGCTCAAGTCACTATATGCTAACCAAGCAACAGAATGCATGTAAGTATAATGCTATTCCTTTCCCTATCTTTGGGTTATTGTGGAACCAAAAATCCAGAAGGGCAGATCTCCAAGGGGATGATGGCATTGCCCTTGCTTAGACAGATTTCAATAATACATTCCAGCTGTCTGCTATCTATAACTAAGTCATGAAATAACATAGCAATTACAAATGGATCTGGCATTTACTCCAACCAATATGAATCCAAGGCCACCAGTGAGCTGAATACTAAGATCTGGAAATGGAGCATGCTTTTCCAGACTTACTCAACAGGATTTTCTAGAATACAATTATATAACTAATGGTACCAAATACTTTTGAGAAGCCTAGAACAAAGGAAATGGATTGTATTTCTATTGTCCAATACTTAACCACCAGAATGCAAGGCAGAAATGACAATGGTTCAGATTTTATGCAACTAAAACAAAACTATAGTATTATACTATAACGAGCTCATTCACACTATATTTATCACAAGGCAATCATATTAAATAATATATTGTTAAGAATTGAGAAATTTTGTTGAGAATGATTGTCCCTAAGATGCTTTATTGAAGAGGCAACTGGACTTTCTGGTTTTTGTTTGAAGACATTTCGCTTCTCAACCAAGACACTTCTCTAGTTCTGATAAGATGGTAGGTAGGAGAATGGAAGGATTTATAGTCCTTTCATGTGCAGATCTGTATATTGGGGAAATGAAACAGCCACTTCATAAATGCATGGCACAACATAGGAGAAAAAACACATCAGGACTAGACTCAGCAGTCCATCTGCATTTAAAAGATAGGCCACTGTTTTGAAGACAACAAAGTCCACATTTTGGACAGAGAGGATTGTTGGCTTGAAAGAGCAGTTAAAGAGGTCATCTATGTCAAAACTGAACAGCCCTCTCTCAACCGGGAGGGGATACAACATCACCTATCTCCAATCTACAACACAGTCCTTTTAATAGTTCCAAGAAGGCTACACACCAATTTGCACCACTCAGGTGACCCTGATGACACAAATAAACCTCCAGATGACCTTAAGGACTTACTAAAAGAATGCAAATGATCAGCTGTCTGCAAGGAGTATAAATCCTTCCATTCCTCACCATCCAGTCAGAGCTGAAGAAGCTTCTTGGTTGAGAAGCAAAATGTCTTCAAAGAAAAACCAGAAGGTCCAGTTGCCTTTTTAAAAAAGCATCCTTGGAACAACCATGATTTGGATGACTGAGAATCTCCATAGATATTGAGAATGATTGTTACAGATTATTATTTGATTTTAAAACTGTCACTAGCTTATGAACTATAAGCTTATACATTAAAATATTATAAATTCAATCCTGTGCCCCAAAATGTCATAATTCATTCAATAGCAGCAATAATATTTAAAATTCTTCAAGCATATCTTACCATAAATAAGTCATGGGCACCTATATCAACTGCTAACAGAAAGGCCTTTTCAAATCTTTGGTGCCTGTAGAATGAACAGAAACAAAAAAAATTGAAATATATACTATTATTTACATGTAGCAGATACAAATTTGTAACTGCAGCCATGAATTCTAGTCCCAGCTTGGGGACTAGGGTCAGCAGGATGATCTTGGGTCATTCAATTTCTCTCTTCGCCCTAGAAAATAGGCAAAAGCAAACCACTTTTGAAATGTTGCCACAAATGTTGTTGAAATGTTGTTGTACAGGGTATTGCCAGGAGTCAAAACTGACTCAAAGCCTCCCTGCCCCCATCAAATCAAGACGAGAGTAAGAGACAAGCGAAGGGAGGTACCCTACACATTGATGTCTGATTCCAAATTCACCTCTTTTTACACTATAAGTGCATGTAAGCAAGCTTCAAGGCAAGCAAAGAGTCTAAGACCCCCATCACCTCTATCTCTGATCTTCTCTCCCACAAAAGTTACTTTTCTTCCTAAAATAAGCAGAATAGATTTTTTTATTCAACATGCAACCACAGCACTTCTCTACACTGAAATATTTTTGCAAAATAAAAGAGTTCTACTTATGACATATCCTCCCACAAATCTTGCCATTGTGTCCCAACATTGTGATGGTGTTGGAGAGAGGAACTAAGAACATTCAGGCATGTATGAAAGTCTTTGTAGATGCTCAGCTAAAGCAGACGGGCATATAATAAGAAGTAATACAGGAAAATTATGTTGGTTCACTTTAATGACAACAAAAAGGCCTATTTTCAAATGTGAAGAGTATGATAGAACACTCTTGAATTTTACTAAAAAACCCACAACAGACAAGATAAAGTGAATGACAATGTAATTACAGAAGATGGACCCTTGAGATTGGATGACATTCAACAAGCTAAAATTTCTATGGCTGAGACAGTTGGCAGAGGCAGGCATGTGCTACAGAGTACTAGATTCCTACAAGAAGAAAATGCCAAGGGAGTGGGAGGAGTGACTTGAGACCTTCCCTTCCAGCTTTCCCATTGACTTTGCTTGTTGGAACCCGTTAGGAAGTTGCAAGAAGATCCTTGTCTAGTAATCCGCAATGCTCTCTTAATGAAGAAGTAAACTGATAGAATTGCTATCACTAAGCAATGTAATCATGTGACATCATGTTTTATGACTACATTGCTTAGTAATATTTTCAGATACTAATGTATTTCAAATTTTCTTCCATTCCATTCAATTCCACTCAAGTTTTTTTATGCTCACTATATATTTTTTTATTTTCTAGATAACTAAGTATGGAAATTTTTCTTTGTAGAGCTAACCCTCTTGGCTTTACCATATTTTTCGGTATACTCATGGTCTATTCCACCCTTCTTCTTTAAGGCAAAGAAAATTCTGATAATTCATACAGTACAATCTAAGGGTCACGGAGGCTAAATCAGAACCTTGCCAGTTCTTTTGTCACTTTTCCACCTGTTTTATCATTAGTGGCCAAGCCTTTTGAAGAAAAAGAATGAAATTTATGTAACACCAGTAAAATAAAATAAGCACAAGGCTAATAAAATAATGAAACTTTCATGAAGTCCTGATATTCTATTTAAATGTAGAAGAAAATCAAAAATCTTTTTACTAACTAGTAACTACCAACAAACTGTCTTAGTCATCATACTCATTGACCATGTAAGTAAATTCCTTGTCCTGGACTGATAAAAAGGAAAACTGCTATGTTTCTACCCTTGCTTCTCTTCAGTAAGAAAATCATCTGTGGGAGAAGAGCTATGCCACAGTTTTGGTTTACAAACATCTCTTTAGAAATGAAGAAATCTCAGAACCTGCCTCATAAAGAAATCAAATGAAGAATGATGTATGATTGCAAAAGATATTTTTAAATCCTTCCAAAGGAAGACAATGAGAATAATGAATATTGGAAAAAAACTCACATGTAATTAAGTGGAATAAAATGAACTTGTAATTACTTCAAACTTTAAAATGTACACGCGATTGAATTTCATTTGAGCATTTTAACAATGAGCAATTGTATCTAAGCCTACCTATGAATAAGAGATGCAAATAGGTAAAAAAAAACCTACATCTCCCAGACATTTATTTCAAGGCTTACATGATCATTTTTAATTCAGTAATTCTGTTTAATATTTCAATTTAATACTTTACTCTTTCATCCAGTTTCTAGGTATCTAGCCCATTTCTTAAGCATAACATAATTATTCATAAGAAATGCTTTCCTTATAAATTCTCCTATTAGCAATTGTTGGATCAGAAACAACATTTATGAAAGTACAAAATGAAAAATGAAGTTTCATTAACTATATCTTACAATATTATAAGGGTTTTATTCTGGGCCCTATTAAACAGCATTTCCTTAGCTAACAGGGCCTGAAGTATGCCTATTTTACCATACTTGTTCTGAGCGGTAGAACCAACTCCAAGTAACCTGGTCCCAAATTCACAGCTATGAATTGTATCTAGAAGACTCTGGCAACTCAGGCAGATTGCAAAATAATGCTATTACATAATGCTGAGTAATCAGTGCCACTGACTACTCATTGCTGCATTCTGCACCAGTTGAAGCTGTCAAACACAATTAACTTAATCTTTGATACATTTTCAGACTCATCATTATCATTGTATCTTACAATCTAACATTAATCAAAAAACATTCTGCTTGTCAGCAAGTAACGTAGTATCATCTACATACAAACATACATACAAAACCACATCACACTGTTAACCACTTAATGGAATATCATCACGTTTTAAATAAATCTGTACATAATAAACAGTCAAACAAATATTAAATACCTGCGCTTTATGCTGAGTGCTGAGCTATTTGCTAAACCTTCCATTTATTCTCACGCATGTTTTCCTTTTTTAAAAAATTGCATCTTTATTATTTTTATAAAGAACACAAGGCGGCAAATATATCTAATACTCCTTCCTTCTCCTATTTTCTTCACAATAATCCTGTGAGGTATGTTAGGCTGAAAGTGTCCGGCCCAAAATACCCAACCATCTTTCATGCCTAAAGTGGAAATAGGGTCATTTGGGGATTATTGTTGGAAAGGATGTGAAATTATGCAGCCAGCTCCTTGAATTAACTCCTGTTCACATTTACTATTGGTTGCCAAGTGCCCTGAGATCATGTGATCATCATCTGCATTCTTCTATGCCAGCTTCTCCAGAAAGTCAATGGGGAAGAAGACAGGGAAGGTTGCAAGGAGAGGGGCTGTTGGATTTAAAGTCCAATTCCCCAGCATGCTGAAAGATTTTGACTGCTTTGCTCAGTGATCAAGATTCCAGGATCAATTGTGGCTGTCAATGGAGGACTACCTGTAAAATGTTCTTTTCCAACATTTATTACTGTATCATTTATCAATCTTAGAGATTATTGATGGAATTGTGTACAAGTGTAAAAAACTTTGTACCAATTTTATTTTAAGCTATAGTAGTTTGGAGTAAATTTTATGGATTTGATTCATAATTATTCCCATTGCTGTGTACTGATTGAGTCTTTGAAATTTTGTTTCCATTTTCTCATCCAGCTATTTGTTCTGTTTCTGTATTGTATCTAAGTAAGAGTTTATATTTGTGCCCTGATAAATGATAATTATTTGTGTATACATTTTGAATTTTGCCTTTTTTAAAAAAATGTCTCCCTCATTCTTAAGTTTAGATTGTATGCTTCCAGCTATGATATATTTGCGGCCTTCACAAAATGTCTTGAATTTGATCTTTGGATTGAAGTGAATCATGTCTGTGTTGGTCATTAATTTTTTCTTACTGTAATTATTTCCAACATGGAAGGCATTTGAAGGAAAAACTAATGTTGAAATTGTTAGGCTTATTATTTTATTTGTAAAATTCCATTTTTAAAAATAAACTTTGTTTGATCATCTGTTTTTAAATTTTTATCCTCCTCTCTGCTTCTATACCACATATACTATGAAGTCCATTAATTAGGCTGACTCCAGTATTCACATTTTGCTGTTAGAGAATTTTATCCACTCTGTTATCCATGACAACAAACATGGTTTTTGCTATACCTTAAAATTTGGAAGAGCAAGATCATCTCTATCTTTTGAATCTTATAATATTTAATTTAATCTGGGTCTTTTCCCACCCCACCCCATATAAATTTGTTGACAAATTTCTTGTCATTCTTGGACTATAATAGGAACCATTTCCAACAAATAATTTATCATGGATAATGTATTCATTTCAGTAATTGCAATTGATCTTAACTAAAATGGCTTTGTTCTTGTCAGTAGATCCTTATTTCATTTTCCATTTCCACATACCAGGGGTGGGATGCTACCAGTTTTGCCCAGTTCTATAGAACCAGTAGTTCTGCAGAGCAGCAGACACCGAACTGGTTCTGTTTGCTTCTGTTGGGCTCGCCTGGGCTCTTACCTGTCCTTTATTTCCTGCTTTTTCAACCTCAGCTGCTTTGCGCGGCACAGCTGAGGTTGAAAAAGCAGGGAAAAAGAGGCTTTTCAAATGCTGCGCACCCACATGCAGCGCTTTTCAGCTGTCCAGCCTAAGGTTTTTTACACGCACATACAGCGTAGTCACTGAACCGTTGAATCCCACCCCTGCCACATAACATATCATTCTCATTTTCCTCTAATGCTTGTTTTAGGGACATTGCTTAAATTGCTTGCCTTTGAGTCTATAAGAGCTACAAATAATTCTTAACTTTCACTGCCTCTTAGTTTCCCAACGTCTCACTATTCAGAAATTTCTAGCTGTTTACCTTTTATCTTTCTATATAAGCACAATCCATCACAATCTCCCAAAATACTGAAATACTTGAAAACTGATGTTAATTAAAAATGCTGATAAGAACTTGTGACACTTGTTGTTACACATTTATTTTTCTCAGCCTTGTCCATTAAAAATCAGCTATGATACTTTAATTGTCTTTGGCCTTTCGTCGGTTCTAGCTTTAGCCCTCTGGTGATTATGTAAACTTAACAATATTCTTGAAAGCTGCATTGAGTAAACTTATCAACATGTCTACACCCTAAGACAGCCCTATAGCAGAGATAAACATAGGCAAAGATGAGTTCCTGCTACTATTGTAAATCTCTATTGTGCCAATATGATGACCCAACAATTTTTAAAAGTATAGTAGATTAGAACATTTATGAACAGATTCTAGGATTCAAGCATTGACATAGGCAGGCAGGTAGGCAGGCAGGCAGGCAGGCAGGAAGGAAGGAAGGAAGGAAGGAAGGAGAAATAATATAAGAAAGCATTTGTCACTTTGAAGGTGAGAAATAGAAAATGATATGTGACTCCCCCATCGTCTTCAAAAACACAAACCTTTCAGAATCCAGTGCTGTACAACTTATTCTCTGCAAGTACAACCAGTTTTGAAATGTACATTACTGTTTCTTTATATTCCCCTTCTATTTTACGTAGTTTTGTTTACCATGTGAACTACATAGAATAATACTTGGTTCACATAACCATATGGCATCAAAATAGTTAAACAAAACAAAAACTGTCACTGAAACTGCCTTGACCTAAAATATTGTAGACGGAAAAATTTGACTATTTTACTGGATGAAATCTTCTTTTTTAAAAAATAGAAACTTAACATTTGGTTATGTCAGCGTCCCTATCTCTAGTTTTATAAAACAAACCAGCCTTTTCATTTTGTCTTGGAATCATACTGACACCAATACAAAGTGATTAGAAGCTAAAATGTATTCCAAGAAGATGTTGCAGTAATCTTTCACATTCAGTAAATGTAAACGTCCAGAGATTCACCAGATATAAACTGCTCTGAATTATATGAAAAAGAATCAAGTGATACAAAGCAATACATGCTTAGTTTTGTGAATCTTTTGAAAGTTTACAAAGAGTATTCAGAAGTGAAGATTATTATGAAATTAAGTCTAAAAAGGAATTGTGCCTGCATTTATATACATTACCTTTGATTCATTGTTTTTCTACTTGAGTAGAAAAAGGACCACATTATAGTAACTGAATAATTTTTCTAGGTTTTATGATTAGTGATATTTCATTATTTGAAAATAAGTATCTGACCAGCAGAATAACAACACTAAGTGGCTAGCAAGCAAATACACAAATAATACAAACATAAGATTAACATTCTATCAGATCACAACAGACATAACATTACCCACTTAAGAAAAATAAAAAAATATGCTGGGCTTGCCTCCTATTCTGACCTAAAAGCAGAGTCAGGTTTTAACAGCCTTTGGGAGGGCAAGAAGAATACAGATCTTCTATATCTAAGAAAGTATCTGTTCACAGTGAAGGTACATTATGGAAAAGGCTCGCTTCCTAGGTACCATAGATGTCAACGTTAAATAGAATTGAAATGAGCCTACCCTATCCAGTCTAGTAGGATGGGAAGTGTCCTCAGTAGGATGGTTGATCCCACAAATAAACTGTTTCTGTGCCATACGGGGCTTTAAAGGTGAAACCAGCCTTCTGAATTGCACCCATAAAGAAACTGGAAGGCAGTGGAGCTTGCATATCAATGGTATAACACAGGCCAACCATGAGGAACCCAAAATTGCCAAGTGAAATTTCTGAGTAATCTGCAAAGTCAACCTATATACAGCACATAATGTCATTTAAATAATGACCATGAAGGATGACTTCACGGGCGTTTGTCCTTTATAATATACTATTATGTGGGTTTTGTGATTCTCTGGCATAGGAATATTTAATTAAATAATCTTTTACAATTTGTGGCTATTTAATGTTGTTTATGAACAGTAAGGTTGTAAGCTACTTAGAGTTGCTTGACAACTACAATGACAAATAAACCAAGTAAAACAAATAAGTGAGATGCAAAAATCTTAGTGCACTGAAAACAAAGGAAATATATATAGCACCTGAACATGTTTGAAAAAACAAGCCGAAATGTCATTGATATTTGTGTGTGTGTGAGTCTTTTAGAAAATATGTTAAATGCTTTAATAATTTCTTATGGAAATAGTATAAATTAATTGAAATTGATAAAAGTCAAGATAGTTGTTCACCTGAGCAGATGGTGGAAGAACCTTCGTGCATATCTACTGATCTGGTCCCTGTATCCCAAAACAGTTGTCTCAGACAAAGGTCGGGTTGGTGCATAAAATGTCCCAAGAGTTGCCTCCAGCTGTGCTGTGGAGTTCAAACATAGCAGCAGTTAAACAAATGGAGTACCTTCTCTTCAAGAAATATGGCTTATGGCTTCAGACAGCGAAGCTTTTCAAATGAACATGCAGCTGGGAAAAATACATTTTTTTTTAAAAAAAGTGACAGTACAGAAACAAATCTATGTTGAACAATCATTTCAGGCAGCACCTATGATGATTTGGAGCAATAACAAAAATCTGTCAGTATCTTAGAATAAATGGATCTCTAATTATTTTAACGTGGCAAGAATGATTAATGACGATGCTAAACTTCAATCAAAGCTTTTCCTACTAAAAAAAGTTCTCCTTTTTTTATCCTTCCTGTTCTGACTTAGCTTGTCAGAACTTTTCCATTGTCCCACAGGTAAAAATATTTTCCAAAGTTAGCCCCTGGGGGAAGCAACTTGACCTCTGTAGGTATTTCAGCACCTCTAAAAGAAGCATTGATAACTGTAGGAATGTTTTTCTGCTTTCAGTATTGGTTGGCAGGCTTCAATAATTACAAGGTGAGTCATATCTCAATATGTCATGATAATAGAGTATCTAAGCACAAACTTCCAGGTTTACTATAATCTGCAATATGGATGTTGCCTCCCTTCTGAAATATTGGAAGTTTTATAATGGTAACTGCGTGCCACCTGCTGTAGGACTGGAAAAAGCAAAACTTGCTTCTTTTCCCTTCTGCCAAAATATACAAATTAAATAAAAATAACATTATTAGTAAATTTGTTAAGGTCGATGAACAACTACAAATCATTCATATTTGTGCCTCCAATGGCCTCTGGGACTCATGACTACTCAGCAATATTATTTGGCAGCAATTCCTTGGCCTTCTTTGGATTACTTTTTCCCTCAACTCTTTCATAAATAGCCAAGATTTGGATTTGCAGCAGGTTTCCCATGGCAGATTGCAAGATGATAAGGTATTTGGCTTTCTATCTACGAACCTATCTAGCTTGAATAAAGATGAAATATTGCACAAATTTAAAATTAAACAATATTCTTTCCAATTAATTTTGCCTAGGATTACATTCTTGAATATATTCATCTTTCAGCTATTCTTCCCCCATCTTTTCTACTATTATTTAGAAGTAGACAAATGTAACCACTGATGCACAGCTTTAACCAATGTTAGTATTATGCCATGTAAATTACTTTAAATGAATGTTGTATTATATTACTTCCTTTTTTAAAAATTGCAGATACAGTTTAATTTTAGAGAATGATACTTAGGAATTCACTTGACAGCAAGGCAAGTAATGACGAAGGAAGATAATTACCAAAAATTGATGCAACAAATTAAAACAGATTTGGAAAAATGGAAAATTTTGCAACTATCATTGATAGGAATGATCCCTACAATTAAATGAATATATTGCCAAGAGTACTGAACATATTTCAAACAATTCCGATAAAGTTGGGAAAAATACTTTGAGGAATTTAATAAAATAATATTAAAATGCATTTGGCAGGGGGAAAAAAGGAAGAATTGGCTTAAAATGTTGCAGAATTCAAGAAATAGAGGAGGCTTTGGACTATCTAATTGGGAACTGTATTACCAGGCAGTGGCATTAACATGGATAAAAGAATGGATTGCATTGAGACATACAAGACTACTGATTCTGTAGGGACATGACTTACAACTGGGTTGGCATGCCTTATGGTATGGGAAAAGCAGAATACATGGTTACTTTCAAAGACATTATATAAGGAATGCATTATTGTTAGTATGGGAGAAAATCTGAGAACAACATTATTTGAAGATACTAGTTTGGCTTTCAACAATGGAAGCACTGATTCACCCAAATGTTATTAACATGGGGAATATTGTTAGATATAAAGACATACTGAATGAAAAGGGGGAACTCAAAACTAAATAAGAATTGAGTGATCAAGGGATCGACATGGTATGGTATACACATGTACTGGTACATTCTAGGTATCAGAAAGATGCTAAATTATATGGTTCTTATAAAGAAACAATAGAATTAGATAAGATATTAACATGGACAAAAGAAAGTGATAAAAAAACTGTATAGCTATTTACTGGCTATTAAATTGAAAGACAACAAGTGGAGGAGACAATGACAGCATGGGCAAAAAAATTTGGTTAAACAATAGAATTAGTCCAATGGCAGAAGTTGTGGAACAGGAATTATAAATTAACAATGTCGACCGCATACGAAGAAAATTTATATAAGATGTTTTATAGATGGCAAATCTCAAATGGCATAAGTTACATGTCTAATATATTGCACACTAGGAGAAGCATAGAAGAAAGAATTTATATATAAAACATACATATTAAAACCAAAAGGTCCCACATAGTTCCACTTTTTAGTATTCCTAGAAATTTTCTAAGAATAAATGTTAATCTTACATAGAATTTTATGTCAATGGTGTAGAATAGCATGATAAGAGCTTCTTTTTCTATAGCATAAGGATTGTGGGTCTCAGCCTCATGACCTTGACACATGTTTCAACAGCAAGCAATTTTTCTAAAACTTGCTGTTCACAATAGCTTCTAGCATTTTCCTTTTCTCCAGGGAAGCACTTGGTGCCCAGTTATATTTACATGCAGAGACAAGACATGAAGCTCTTCTACTTATTATTTTTCTTATCTAAATCCTAAGAAAAGTACTAATGGGACCACAAAAAAGACAAAGAATAGAAAATGAAGACGCTAGAATTCCAATAGACAAGCTCCTACCACAAGACAGCCCAGATTAACATTGTTGATAAGAAAAAGTCTTAGTTAGTGGACATTGCAATATCTGGAGACAGCAGAATAAAAGAGAATGAACTGGAGAAAATCACAAAATACAAAGACTTGCAAATAGAAGTAGAATGACAATGGCAAAAGAAAGCAAAGATAGTATCAATAATGATAGGCACTTTGAATGCAATCCCAAAGCATCTGGACCACTTGAACACTATCAGTATTGACAAAATCACTACCAGTCAATTGCAAAAGACAGCTTTACTTGTAACCTTTAACACCATCAAACAACACAGCCTATCCCAGATCCTTTAGAAGGACTTGACAGGTAGATAAAAATGCCAAATCTGATCTAAATATCTGGCTGACTATGCAATGAACGAATAATAAAATTTATTAGATTTTTATCCCACTTTTTACCATAAAATTCAAGGTGTCAATGTTCTAAATAGAATTATCTTGCCTATTTTCTCCACAACAAGCCTCTGTGGTGGGCTAGGCAGAGAGAATGACTGGCCCAAAGTCATTCAGCTGGCTTTTATGCCTAAGGGAGGCCCAGAACTCAATGTATCCTGGTTTCTAGGCCAGCACTTTCAACTCTACACTATGCCAATATATTTACACTGAAAAACTGATCTGTAACACCAGTTGCTTTTAACATAAAGATCAGTATATGCATAATCTTGCAATGGTTTAAGTATAACCTGCTCAAGTTGATTAACATTAAAGTTCTAGCATTAATTGAAAGGTAGGGATACTTATCAGACATAGCCCAACAAACCTTCTCTAACGTGTGTCAGCTTTTGTCGAAGCAGATAGTTTGTTATGGCACATAGGCTTACATAACAGTGATGACCCACTGTATTCCAGTTCATGCCATTTAAAATGTTAATTGCCTCACATATCTCATCTTGATGAATATATTCCTGGATGATTTCTACAAGGCCAAGCTGTCCTCTTGGGATGACACCTGCCACAAAAAGTAATGAAAAAGTCATTCCAGTCAAACCTAATTATGTTAATTTGTTTCACTAAGAATATGTCTGTTTGGTTGTCTGTTTTTCACCTATTAAAATATATAAGGTGTGCAGTTTGGACAGATACATTGATAAATAGTATTTGCTTAATGATTAAGGATAGCACTATTGTATAAGAACGTATAAAAATAAACCCTTTTGGAAGCAATGAATCCAACCCAATTAATTTTTGCTTGGCTCCTATGAGAATAAAGAGAGATGAAAAAAAATTTAAAGGCTGTATCAATATTAGCAAAATGAATGGAGTGAAAATTACTAAAGTTCAAATGATAGCATTCTGCCTGTGGACTGAAAGATTGATCTCACCACCCAATAGATTTTGTTTTTATCTGTAATTTGAGACTGATTACACAGTACATATTTCATGTACAGACACACTTCTGTTATCAAAAATATTAAGTGCACATTAGCAAATACATCTTTACATTCATATATTTTATATAGCTGTGAATGCATATTGGAGCTATCAAAATTGTAACGTTCATCATAGTAGTTTTCAATTTATATAAACTCGGTAGATTTCAGGAAGAAAGGAGAGTCTCTATAGGCAAAATATAGACACTTTATTGGCCATCCATGATTCCCCTACCCTTGATTTACATTTTCACATTGTGTAATATTAAGGAGGTTTAATCTTTTCTTATTGTTGCCTATCAATACAATCTCATTTTTGAATTTCTAAATATTTGAATTTTAAATACAATCTGGTTCTACTCCAATCTCCATGAAATAAAATATTGATTTTTATTTTTTTTTGCAGGAGGGGTAAGTAACAACAAATAGTGTATCAATTATAAGCACATTCTGGAACAAACTAAACAGATATTTCGATATCACTAGGTGCAGAAAAAACTTTTGATACTGTGAAAATTGAATTTCTGGCATAAGTAAAGAAAATTAGATACCCTTTAGAATTTGTTTCATATAAAATTTTATTATTTTAATCTTTCTGCTTGGGTGGTTACAAATGGGATTATCTGCTTTGTAATCAACATGTGATGGCCCAGTGATAGTTAAGGACCTTAATGGATCAGAATGTAAATATAAACTGTTATCACATGCAAATCAAATTTCAGATCTTTTAAATGACTCTTAAAAATATTCCCAAATATGTGGAAAATATAGAGTGCAAATGAACATGGTCTCTAAGTAATAAATATTGTGAGAGAGTGCCTACGTTGCTTACATATTTTTAAAAAATAAATTAAGTGAATTACTAATGAAAGAAAGAAACCTCTACCATCTTAGTCTCATTACAAAATGAATGCAATTTATCCAAAATATCTAAGTGCCAATATATTCAGGTAAAACATTTGTTATATATTTTATTCAGTTCTGAGCTTTAACAATCCAAATCTTTGGAAGATTTGTTTATTGTAGGAAGATGTTCCTGAAACTAAATTTACGATTTTATGTTACTAAAAAATGAAAGAAAATTATGACTTCCGGCTTGTGGTTCTTCAGTGCAGGCAGGATTCCGTGGCTCTGCACGGTTTCTGCCTGTGTTCACTGCCTGAGTGCCTCGAGCCATTTGGCTTCGGGGCTAAGCCACCTTTGTAGAAGGTGGTGAAGACTGGGGGGTTCTGGCAGGGACGAGAGACATCGCATCTCTCTTCCCCAGCCGGCTAAATCTCCCTCTCCGACGGCAACTGAACGGCGATCTTTTATGGCCGCCATTTAGAAGAGCCCAGCCGGGGAAAGAAATGTGCTGGAGGGGTTTGTGAAGAAATGAAACTGATTTTGCTGACCGGGACAAAGGAACAGTGAAAGTATCCTGGTATTTAACACCTACTAAAGACACATTGTTCCCAGACTGAGTAAGCAGCGAATGGATATCAAAGGGAAAACTTTTTTTCTTTTCACTCTCCTTCCAAACGGAACAGCTTTGAGAGAAATCGGAAACCCGCATTGAAGGTATGCTAAATGCTAAAGACTGTGCTAATGCCAAAGGGATATGGATTTCTAAATATTTAAAGAAAATTTTTTCTTCTGCTATGAGTGGGAAGGGAGAGGAAAAAAAATTGAAATTGAAAATAAAGAGCAGACTGCCTAGAATTTTAAAGAGCCATTTGAACATTAATAAGACTTCAAAAGACATATTATAATTGGAATTTTGTGATTTAATAGCAACCCCAGAAAAAGAAATGGAAGAAGGGAAAAAGTGTTAAATGAAATAGTTTATCTGGATTGTTTGGTGACTTTGCATCTTTTGGGAAACTTTTTTTTTCTTTGTTTAAAAACACTCGGGTGGTTGTTTTGGGAAAATTTTTTCCTCTTCATAATGGCACCACTTTTGGATGAATTTAAAACTGAATATCTAAAATATAAAAAGGAAGAACAAGACTGGAAAGATACCTTGGACATTCTTTTTCAATCTCTAGAAATGGCGGTGCATTCCTATGGAGAATTGATTGCGCAGCAGGATAATTGGGACAAAGAAGGAACCATTTTTGATGAACATGTGACCCTATTGGGGGAGAAGAAGGAGGAAGAGGAAAAGGAAAAAAGGATTTTAAAACTTAAAAAAACAACCAAAAAAGATAAAAATGAGTTGAAGGGTGGATATAAGATTAGGAAACAACAGGAAGGGGGAAAGCACAAGAAGGAAAGGGAGGTGGAAAGACAAAGGGGTGAACAGGGTAAGGAAAAGAAGAAGCAAGGGAGAAAGGAAGGGGTGAGAAGTCTCAATGATGGGAAGCAAGATTTGAAGAAACAAAATTTATTTATAGACAATGGGTAGATTTAATTGTAAGGTACATAAGATTGTGTTATTATAGGCATTTATAGAATAAAATGTTTAAGATATAAATATATAAATAAGTATTAATAGGTACGATTAATTTTTTTCTTTTTCTCTTTATATAATATATTGTGTGACTTTAGGATGTGCTAAACAGAATCCCAATACAAGTTATGTGTGATATTAAGTATTATCAGGTTAGGGGAAAGAGTTAAAGGCGTCATACTCTAATTAGTGTACAGGAGAGGTTTTGTTTAAAGAGAAAAAATGAATGGATAGTTGAGAACAGACAAAGAATGTTAAGTATTATGATTTGAACTGAGATGACTAGAATAAAATTAAGAGAGTTAAAAAAAGGAAGAAGCTATATAGAAAATGGAAAACGGTAATAAGATATGGAATGATATATAAAAGGAACATGATTTTTGAAGAGGTGTCTGTATGAGTTTTAACCCGGGATCAAGCAACTTTCAGAAAAGATGTTTATGTTTTTATGTTTTTTGTCTTGTTTGTTTGTTTTTTTTATTGGAAGAGAATAATGAAAATGTATAAGACAGATGGATATAAAAAATGTATACAATCTAAAGTTAAAGAGATATAATTTGAATAAATAGAAGGAAAAGAAGTAATAAAGAGAAGTTTGGGATAAGATGAACAGATAAGGTAAATATATATATCAAATTGTGCTTGTTTGGAAATGTGATAATTTGGAATAATTCTGTCTTTAAATAAGTTGTTGTATTGGCTTTTTAAGGAAAAAAAAATTCCTATGTCATTATATTTTATGTTTTGTTTGTCTGTGTATTGTTTTGGAAAATCAATAAAATTTGTTTAAAAAAAAGAAAGAAAATTACAAAAATTTGGACAACATAAAAGAAATGAAAGATAGAATCAGAATAGCCTTCTTAGGAAAATCAGTATTTCAAATTTTAAAAAGTTGATCAAGAAGTTAAGGCACCAAGTTAGAAAATGGTAGACTGTGAGTTCTAGTCCCACTTTAGCCATGAAAGCCAAATGAGTGACCTAAGGCTAGTCACTCTCTTTCAGTCCAACTCATCTCACAGAATAATTTTGTGGGGAAAGTAGAAGGAGGAAAGTGTGTTGGATATGTTTACCACTTTCAAATATTTGTAGAAATTATAAAAATAGGTTCCAAAAAAATGCAGAAATAAAATTTCAAGCATGCCTAATTAAACAAAATTATTTTGAGAGAAATTAGACAATGGATGATTTTTAAAAAATTATTGGAATTCTTTTTATGTTAGAGATGTACTAAAGTAAAGGTAGATATCTTTTAGTAGCTCCCTGTTGCTAGATATTATTGTTGTTGATATATACACATACATACATACATACACACATACACACACATATTCTTTAACAATACTTTAAATGAAATGAAATGTATTATTTTTTGTTTTTAATTGACTCTTTATGAGCTAGTATCTCATTTCATTTTAGGCAGAGGTGAAATCATGCAGTCTAAAAGATTCCTTTTGTGGCTCCTAGATCCCTCTCCTTTTGTAGCAGAGAGCCAAAATACACTGCTCAAAAAAATAAAGGGAACACTTAAACAACACAATGTAACTCCAAGTCAATCACATTTTTGTGAAATCAAACTGTCCACTTAGGTAGCAACACTGATTGACAATCAATTTCACATGCTGTTGTACAAATGGAATAGACAACACGTGGAAAGCAGAGGCAGTTAGCAAGACATCCCCAATGAAGGAGTGGTTCTGCAGGTGGTGACCACAGACCACTTCTCAGTTCCTATGCTTTCTGGCTGATGGTTTGGTCACTTTTGAATGCTGGCGGTGCTTTCACTCTAGTGGTAGCATGAGACAGAGTCTACAACCCACACAAGTAGCTCAGGTAGTGCAGCTCATCCAGGATGGCACATCAATGTGAGCTGTGGCAAGAAGGTTTGCTGTGTCTGTCAGCGTTCAGAGCATGGAGGCACTACCAGGAGACAGGCCAGTACATCAGGAGATGTGGAGGAGGCCATAGGGCAACTACCCAGCATCAGGACCGCTACCTCCGCTTTTGTGCAAGGAGGGACAGTAGGAGCACTGCCAGAGCCCTGCAAAATGACCTCCAGGGGGCCACAAATGTGCATGTGCCTGCTCAAACGGTCAGAAATAGACTCCATGAGGGCGGTATGAGGGCCCGACGTCCACAGGTGGGGGTTGTGCTTACAGCCTAACACCGTGCAGGACGTTTGGCATTTACCTAAGAACATCAAGATGGGCAAATTCGCCACTGGCACCCTGTGCTCTTCACAGATGAAAGCAGGTTCACACTGAGCACATGTGACAGACATGACAGGGTCTGGAGACGCCGTGGAGAATGTTCTGCTGCCTGCAACATCCTCCAGGATGACCAGTTTGGCAGTGGGTCAGTAAAGGTGTGGCGTGGCATTTCTTTAGGGGGCCACACAGCCCTCCATGTGCTCGCCAGAGGTAGCCTGACTGCCATTAGGTACTGAGATGAGATCTCAGACCCCTTGTGAGACCATATGCTGGTGCGGTTGGCCCTGGATTCCTCCTAATGCACGACAATGCTAGACCTCATGTGGCTGGAGTGTGTCAGCAGTTCCTGCAAGATGAAAGCATTGATGCTATAGACTGGCCTGCCCGTTCCCCAGACCTGAATCCAATTGAGCACATCTGGGACATCATGTCTCGATCCATCCACCAATGCCACGTTGCACCACAGACTGTCCAAGAGTTGGGGGATGCTTTAGTCCAGATGTGGGAGGAGATCCCTCAGGAGACCATCCGCCACCTCATCAGGAGCATGCCCAGTCATTGTAGGGAGGTCATACAGGCACGTGGAAGCCACACACAGTACTGAGCCTCATTTTGACTTGTTTTAAGGACATTACATCAAAGTTGGATCAGTCTGCAGTGTTTTTTCCACTTTAATTTTAAGTGTAACTCCAAATCCAGACCTCCATGGGTTGCTAAATTTGATTTCCATTGATAATTTTTGCGTGATTTTGTTGTCAGCACATTCAACTATGTAATGAACAAAGTATTTAATAAGAATATTTCATTCATTCAGATCTAGGATGTCTTATTTTTGTGTTCCCTTTATTTTTTTGAGCAGTGCAGTTTGCTGACCTCTTCCCCAAAAGACTTTGGTTCTATTCATTTTTGAAGTGTACCTTTCAACATGAAATGCAAAACCTATTTGACCCTCAAACTGACAGAACTTTTAATTACTTAAGAAGTAAATGATTACTTGCTAAGTGAGCTTTAGAATGGACAAAACCTAAATATTATTTGCCTTAGCTTGCACCATAAATTGATTCCATTCTTAGAAGACATGGAAAAAGAACTCACCTCAATGGCTTTTGTGGAGACCATGGTCTGTCTGTGAGACTTATTAATCATGATCACACATCTTCCTAGATGTACATATATTTTAGCATTATGGACTTTGTTCTATCTGTCCCCATGAGAATGTTGTTCTATATTTTTCTAATATGTTTAGTATCATAAAATTGTAAGTTTTAAGTAAATTTTGAAAATGCATGTGTTATCTCAGGTTTATGTTACATTCTAATAAACTGGATCGGAATAGGACAATCATCCCTAATGCATGTAACCAGAGAATTTCTTGTTGAAAATTTAACAGCATTTTTTTTAAAAAAATATTTCAGCTCTTAATCATAGAGGTCAGCAGCTTCCTTTTTGGGTGTCTGATTTCTTTTGGGTCAGGCATTTCCAAATGACCTACTTTGGTAAGAAAGGTGACAGACAACTCATGGCCTAATTGATTTAGGAACATTGCCCAGGGAGACAGCCCAATTAAGTTTACAAGCTGGCAATTAGCAGAAAGGCCTCTAAATCCCTGCACTGAGAGCATGTTTCTCTCAGTTAAGAACATAAATGTGCTAGAGATAGGAAAAGTAAAGCTGTGCTTTTTAGAAAATTGTTGTGAGAAGAGCCACACGGGAAAACTAAGAAAAGCAAGGTAGGTATAGTCTAATTGCCTTCTAGTAGACAGGTAACCAAAAAAATGTAGCAGCATTTAAAAATATGCAACATTTGAGAATACATCAGCAAACTGTTTTAATTAGCTTTCTAAATAAACATCTATGGCTGTTAAAATACTAGACAAGGTAGAATAATTTATCCAGGGGTGGGATTCAACCGGTGTTACTACTGGTTTGGTGACTACGCTTGATGCGCGCTCTGCTTGCGTGTAAAAAAACATCAGCTGTGCTGCCCAGACAGCTGAAAAATGCTGCATGAAGGTGCGCAGCGTGTGAAAAGCCTCTTTTTTCCTGCTTTTTCAACCTCAGCTGTGCCATGCAAAGCAGCTGAGGTTGAAAAAGCAGGTAATAAAGGACAAGTAAGAACCCAGACGGGCGGGTGGGCCAAACAGCAGCAGACACAGAACCGGTTTGGTGTCTGCTGCTCTATAGAGCCGGGCAGAACCAGTAGCATCCCACCCCTGAATTGAACAAATTATTGTATAAGCTTTCCTGTTAAACAAGATATCAAGACAATTTTTAAAGAATATAAAGCTGACATATCCTGAATGGTGCAATTATATTTATAAACCAAATTGTTGGGATATAGGATTAGAGTGGCTTATGGGGTAATTTCTATCTACCTACCTATCTACATATCTGGTCAAATCTGCAACTACATTTACTTGAAAACTATTCTTTAGCTGCCATATTAATGGTGCTGGATAAAACCCAGAGGCCTGTGATCATCAGTGGAATAATTAAGAGAAAGATGTTTATCTCTCCAGCTCCCAAATTCAACTTAGGAGAATGGCCCATTCTGCTGTAGCAAGGGGCAAGATGAGAAAGGCCTTCTGCATCAATCAAAATTTCTTGCACAACCATAGATTTCATCTATATTATTTGCTAATTATTTTTATTGGCCGAGACAGATGACTCACATAAAATACAAATATTTTAATGATGTATCTCTCTTCAGATTTCTTCCAATCAATGGATTTCAACAGATTCAGTCAACCATTCAGTCCAATCATAAATAATGTAATGTAATCTTGGATCTTTTTCTTCCGGTTCTTTTACTTTTCTTGCTTCGTTTTGTTGAAAATATAATCTTTTTAAAAAGCAGAAATTTTATATCTACTGATGAAACATAAAAATTGCATTTGCCATTAACTACCAAATAAACTTACCGGTTTTGAAATGAAGCACTCCAACGGGTCCTCTGTCAAATCTAAATAATAGAAGATCATGTATATCCAAAACATCTATGTCCTGAGAAGAATTTTGTGGGATAGCCCATTGAATTTGAATTAGACTGCTGGATATCTGAAATTTTTCACTGAATTGTAGAGTCGATTTTGGTGAAAAGTCTTCAGCTAAAAACTGCATTTTAATTGGAGACAGTGCCATGTCAAATAACTGTAGTTCTCCTTGAGAATTACCAGTAAGAATTATGGCAGCACTAGGGTGGCAACACATTAAGGCAGGTAGCAGCTTTGCTTCTGTTATCAGAGTTACTTGACGGTAGGCTTCATATAGAACTATTGAAGAATCTTCACAACCCAGAACTAGTTTGTCTTCTGTAATATTCCTGCAACAGCTGATGGCCTTGGATGTTAATGGTATTTTGGTGATTGCCACACAATGAATTTTATTCCTAACATATTCATAAATGCAGCTGTCAACCATGGGCTTTTGGTCTGCACTCGCAGATTGTTCTACAGTATGAATCTGATGTGGATTGCGCATACTAAATCGGACATCAAGTGGATCCCCATCTGTATGAATAGAACCCAGAATCTGAAAAACAACCCATATGTAGAATTGCAGTGAGTTGAAATAGCATATACTTACAAGTAATATAAATAAAAATGCTACAATTCCTAACCAAGGTAACAATTTGACAGAAATGGATTTCATTGTACCTTAAAGGTAAAGGTTCCCCCTGCACATGCATGCTAGTTGTTTCCAGCTCTAGGGGCACTGCTCATCTCCTTTTCTAAGCCGAAAAGCCAACGCTGTCCGAAGACATCTCTGTGGTCATGTGGCCAGCATGACTAAATGCCAAGGGTGCATGGAATGCTGTTACCTTCCCACCAAAGTGGTCCCTATTTTTCTACTTATATTTTTTACATGCTTTTGAACTGCTAGGTTGGCAGAAGCTGGGACAGGTAATGGGAGCTCACTTCGTTACGTGGCGCTAGGGATTCCAACTGTTAAACTGCCGACCTTCGGATCAACAAGCTCAGCGTCTTAGCCACTGAGGCACCACATCCCTTCCTTGGTTTCTTAGTAAGACCACTGTACCTTACTATCTGCTAAATCATGTGACATGATGAGGACATGATGCCTCAAAGTCGATTTGTATATCAGTGTATGTAGTTTAGCTTACAGCTTAGTATATAGTTTATAATGTAAACAGATGCACTGTTTTTCAGTTTAAGGTACATATTCTTGTGAATATAATTAACTGGGCAGAATTTTTCACTAGTAAAAATAGGTCTGACTTTGTGAAAAAATATGTATCACAGGGCACTAAAAAGGGCGTTGGTACTTACCTGATACGCCCATTCTCTGTGAGCTGTGAAGAGCATCCAGATATGGGAGGTGCTTCAGTCTCTTCTGGAAAGGCTGGGCTTAAAACTCCGGGACGCTCCTCCTCCTCCTCAGGCCTCCTCCTCAGCATCCTCCAGTTTTGCGAAGACTGAGTGTCGAAGTCCAGAACTCATCACCTAATCTAGATCCCTGACTGGAAAGGAACCCCACCAGATGGAAAGAAATGGGTGGGGCTGGATGCTCTTCACAGGTCACAGAGAATGGGCGTATCAGGTAAGTACCAACGCCCTTTCTCCCATGAGCTGTTCAGAGCATCCAGATATGGGACATACCAAAGCTTGGCCTGTCCTTAGGGAGGGACTCCGTCTGGATTGAAATCCACTCCTATACTTTGTGGACTCTCTGCAGGACTCTTCTGCCAAATGAAGCGTCTGCTGAGGCATAGGTATCAATTCTATAATTTCTGACAAAGGGAGATGGTGAAGCCCAAGCTGCCGCTCTGCAAATTTCATCTATGGAGGCCTGTGTGGCCCATGCTGCTGACGTTGCCGCACTCCTTGTTGAGTGGGCTGTAATGCCCCTAGGAACTGAAATGGACTGGCATTCATAACCTTTAGCTATGGTGGCACTCAACCATCTACCGATGGTCGTGGGCGACACCTTTTGTCCTAAGGTGGATGGGTTGAAGGATAGAAATAGAGCCTCAGATTTTCGAAATGCCGCTGTGCGGTCTAGATAGATGTGTAAGGCCCTTCGCACGTCAAGTCTATGACATTGATGTTCCAGCCTATGAGCTGGTTTTGGACAGAAATTTGGAAGGACCAACTCCTGCGCTCTGTGGAAGGTTGAATTTACTTTAGGAGTTAACGATGGATCCAAACGGAGAATCACTCTGTCTGCATGAAACACGCACAGGTCCTTACGCATTGACAATGCCGCCAATTCGGAAATCCTTCTAGCTGATGTGATTGCAATTAGGAAGGCCACCTTATATGTCAGGAATTTAAGGCTAGTGGTTCTTAGAGGCTCGAACAGACCAGTTTTAAGAGCGGTTAACACCTTGTTGAGATCCCAGGTGGGATAGCAGTGAATTACAGGAGGTTGTAAGTTTGCAGCACCCTTGAGAAAACTGCAGACATGTGGATGGTGTGCTATGGAACAGAGGTCACCCCAGGTTATCACCGAGGCTAAAGCCGCCACCTGTCTACGTAACGTATTTGGAGATAGGCCCTTGGTCAACCCCTCCTGTAAAAAACCCAATAATTGTCCTATTGATGGAGCAGTTGGACCCCCGACACCAGCGACAAAAAGCTGACCACATGGCTTCGTATATACGATTTGTTGAGGCCCGTCTAGATGCTTGAATAGTGGCAATAGCATCCTCTGAAATTTGTTGGGCCCTTAAATGGCTCCGCTCAACCTTCATACGGCTAGACTGAGCCATTGTGGGTTCGGGTGAAGTATCGGCCCTTGGGAGAGGGAAACCTTTGATGGTGGAATTTTCCAAGGTTGTTCTCTCGACAGGTCCTGTAAATCTGCGAACCACGTTCGCCTGGGCCAGTAAGGGGCAACCAATATCAATTCCGCTCGTTCCTCCAATAACTTCTGGATCAACCTGGGTATCACCAGGAGTGGAGGAAAAACATATAGAAGTCCGGGAGGCCACGAACATCGCAGGGCATTGACGGCCTCCACCCCGAGTCAGGTACCTTGAAATATACCGGGGCAATTGGGTGTTTAGAGGAGAGGCAAATAGATCGATCACCGGTTGCCCAAACCTCCACACTGCTTTCCGGAAGACAGACAGGTGTAGGCGCCACTCTGCCTGATCTATCGTGGCCCTGCTGAGCCAGTCTGCTTGTGTGTTTAATGCCCCTGCTATGTGTTCTGCCTTGAGCAAAGACAGATTGGCCTCGGCCCATTTGAACAACTTGGTTGTCTCCAGCACCAGAAGTTTGGAATGAGTACCCCCCTGTCTGTTTAAGTGGGCCTTGGTTGTGGTCTTGTCTGTCAAGACCAGAATGTGGCATGAATGGAAAAGGGGTAGAAAATTGCGTAAAGCCAGGTGAACTACTCGCAGTTCCAACAGGTTGATGCTTTATGATTGTTCGGAAATAATCCAAATGTCTTGTGCAGTGTGGGATTGGAAGTGAACTCCCCATCCTACCAGGCTGGCATCAGTTGTGATCGTTACCCTGTGAGGTTCCTTGAAAGGATACCCCCCGTTTATGATTTTGTCTGACCACCAGCGCAGCAATCGGAGAACGTTGTGCGGTACCTTTATCCAGATGTCCGGATCGCTGGAAAGGTAGCAGGAACCATTGCAGCTCTCCAGAATGGAATCGAGCCCAAGGCACAATGGAAATACAAGAAATCAATTTCCCTAACAGTTGAGACAGCAATGCCAGGGAAACCCTCCTTAAGGCCCTGATTTCTTTGGCCAAAGACTGAATACTGTTTAACCTGTTCTGAGAGAGAAAGACCTTGCCCTCCACGGTATCTATCACTGACCCCAAATGAACTAGCCTAGTTGAGGGGATCAAGTGGCTTTTATCCCAATTTATAGAAAAACCATGACCCTGAAGGGTCTCCAGAGTAAACTTGGTATCTAATTTTGCTTGATGTCTGGAAGATGACAAAATTAAAATATCATCCAGATAACATTGTAAGTGGACAGATCTTATCCTGAGTGAGGCAGCCAACGCCGCAAGGACCTTGGTAAAAGTCCTAGGAGCTGAAGCCAGACCGAATGGCAGGGCGATATATTCATAGTGCCGATCACAATAGCAAAATCTAAGATATCTGTAGTGGGCAGGTCTGATTGGTATATGTAGATAAGCTTCTGTGAGATCTATAGAGGTCATGATATCGTTCTCTCTGATGCTAAGCAGAATGGACTAGAGAGCAGTCATCTTGAATTTCCGATAAACCAATGATTTGTTTAAGTGCTTGAGGTCCAGAATTGCCCTCCAGCCCCCCGAACTTTTTGGGACCACGAACAATAGAGAGTAACAGCCTTGACCTCGCTGTTCAGATGGGACCTCTCTAATGGCCCAAATATTCAGAAGATGATTGATAGCCTCCCGCATCAACGCCCTCTTAATGGGGTCCGTGGACCTAGGGCTCCTAATGAAAAAGTTCGGGGGGGAAGATTGAAACTCCAGCGCCAAACCAAACCTAATAGTGTCCCTGACCCACGCATCAGAAGTCGAGCTGTCCCATTGATCGGCAAACAGTTTTAACCACCCACCAATGGGAACTGCTGTCAAGGGCTCACTTGGGGCGACGAAAAAATTGGCCTCTAGTGCCTCTGGGGTTTCTACTATTTTGGCCTCCCCGCTGACCTCTATCGGAGGATTCAGGTCTATCCTGTCTAAAACTGAGCCTGTAGCCTGATGTTCTCTGAGATCTGGGAACGTAGGGGCCCTGATAGTAGGACTGAAAGGAACCCCTTCGAAATGACTGAGGCATTCTGTTTTCAGACCTACGAAAAAGAGGGGGAAGCACTTTTTTCTTGTTTCTATTTTCTATAAGGAGGGGCTCCAAGACACTGCCAAATAATTTATCCCCCAATATTGGGGCTGATGCCAACTTGCATTTATGCTTGGTATCCGCCTGCCAATGTCTGAGCCATAGCAGTCTCCGTGCTGATACGTGAGATGCTATGGCCCTAGACGAGAATTTGACTGCATTAAAAGTGGCCTCGGCGGAGAACTCTGCAGCTGTGATAATTTTAGCTATGTCCTGGTGAGCTCTGACATTTGACACCGGCAATATATCCCTCAGGTGGGAGAGCCATCAGAGGGAGGCACGTGTAAAAACGGACACAGCTGTAGCTGCCTTAATGGCCCAAGCATCAGAAACATGCGCCCTACGGAGTGCTAACTCTGCCCTCTTTTCTTCTGGTCTCAGGGCTTCCTCGGCCACGTTAGGGAAGGTGGAAGAAGAGGCCAGTGCCACAATGGGTTCATCCACCTCGGGCATCTTGAGAAAATTTTGCAAACCCTGGTGCCAAATTAAAATATTGCTTATCGTACCCTGTTGGGGCTGGGTATGATGCTGCTGATGCCCATTGATTTTGCACTAAATCAGCAAACATACGAGGGACAGGGATAGTTTCCGCCTCATTAGTCGGTTGCGAGAATATTAGGTCTTGGGATTCATCCTGAGACTGTTGGTAATGGATGAGTGTTTGCTGTGCCTAGCTTAATGGTGTTCTTTGCCTTGAACAGTAAAGATTTAAAGAGGTGTGGATGAAAAAGGCCAGAAAAGGTAGGTTGGTCTGGAATGAGGCCTTCGTCATCCGACATTCCCCGTTCTAGCGGGTCCGCCTCTGACAGATCCAAGTCCATCTGATGGATCGAGCCCCCCTCCATGGAAACCTCCTGGTCCTCAAAGTCCACCTCCTCCCAAAGGTCCTGGGCCGGTATGTTAGGCGTATTGGAGAATACCTGAGATTTATGTTGTTGGGTATACCCAAAGGAGCGGACGGATAGGGATCCCGCATCTGAAGTGGTCGAAAAGTGTCTGGTCCGAATAGATTGCTGAACTCCAGCCGCAATGCCCCTTTGAATGGCCATCTCCATCCATTGCCTCATTTCGATGAGAATAGACTCAGGTAATCCCTCTTCCTGTCTTAGGCCGGCGGCCGTAGGGGTGAAGGTTGCCTCAGGAATTGGCCAGGTAGTGCTCAATGGAGGAGATGTACCTATGGGGGTTTGTCTAGGAACAGCCTGTCTGGGCTGGGTAGATAAGTCCAAGGGCCCCATCAATGGGTTTGGGTTCTGATCAGTCAGGGCTATCTTGTCCGCCTCCCTGGCTTGTTTTTGCAATTGTCTTTCCAATGCTAGGTGCCTTCTATGGGCATCCTTACCTGCTGCCTTAGAGGCCTTTTTGGGACCCACAGGCTTGTCACGGGGCTTACTGGACTTGGAGCGGAAAGCGTTGTCACGGTCCATTTTGTATGATGGATTGTCTTGCCTCTGAGTGTAAATTTAATTTTTTAAAAAAATTATTATGATTATTATTGATATTGCTATCGATATCCCTTGCGGTTGATATCAGAAAGGTCCTCCAGGAAGTTAAGACTGAATATATATGGTAATAAGAGATTAAATGGAGAACGGTATATCAGGGTCCCCAGCAAGGGAAACCCTGCTATTACAGGCTCTGATGTGCCTCCTTGCCTGTCAGAGACAACGCCCCGCAATATAACTGTCACTTTAAATTTCCGATTGATTAAATGGTCCCGAAGGCAAATACACAGAAATGCCTGTAAATAAGTAGCCGTTTAGTTCCACGTTAGCCAGAGGAATAGCTATATCCAGGGAAGGCACAATGGACAGTTAATGTCTTGGTCCCCAGCAAGGGAAACCAGCGATAAAGGAGGCTGTGACAATTGCTTTCTCAGTCCCCAGCAAGGGAAACAAACGAGAAATGGAGGCTGTTACAATTAGGCGTGAAATTGAGGTAGCCGTTGGAAAGGGCGGGAAGCGGAATCACTGATGTCAAGCCTGAGCCGTCTGGAAAGTCTCTGCTGCTGCTGACCTAACTGTTATTTGAATGCTGCTGTCAGGAGAAAGCAGGAAAGCCGCGGCTGTGAATGTTCCGATCTGATCGCAAATCTGACAATCGGAGAGGCAGATAAGGCTTTTTGCTGAAAGCCTCAGGCTGTTTGCAGATTGACAGGCTCCGCTGATTTCCTAGGGAAAGTGATCAGAATGGAAGATAAGGCTGTTTTGTGAGGTGAAAGCCTCAAATTGCCTGAGGGGTAGCAGGCTATGCTAATTTACGAGGGAAAGTGATTAGAATGGTAGATAAGGCTAATTTGTGAGGCGAGAGCCTCAAACTGCCTGCGAAGTAGCAGGCTCCGTTAATTTACGAGGGAAAGTGAGTTTTAGAATTGTTCGTTTTTATCTAGATCGATGGGAAAGCCGAATTATGGTGAAGGGTTTTAAAGATCCAACCTGAATTTGAGCAAAGCCGTTCCAGTCAGGGAGTGCACAACCTCTTACCAAGAAGGCTGAGCTAAAACTGGGGGACGCTGAGGAGGAGTCCCGAGGAGGAGGAGGAGCGTTCCGGAGTTTTAAGCCCAGCCTTTCCAGAAGAGACTGAAGCACCTCCCATATCTGGATGCTCTGAACAGTTCATGGGAGAATATAATTATTTTATTTTATAATGCATACGCATACTCATCGATCTAAGAAATATTTAATTATACTGTTTCTATTTTAAAAAGTTCCAATAAAAGTAGGAATACCCCAGGGAACATTTATTAGTCCCTTCTCAGTTATATTAAACAGATTAAACTATGCTGATGCAATGTATTTCATAACTTTCCCTTTAGGTTCAGCAAATTTAAACATAGAAACAAAACAATAGTAAAATAGTAAATAATAAAAATATTCATGCTAATAAATAAGAGTTGAAAATGTGAATGATATTCTAAAACTCATCAAAAACCAAATAATATTTTTAACTGGCACTTAATACTTTAAAAGACCAGAATCTGAAGGAACCATATTTTAACTGTTACCCACCCCATCTAAATGGAGATATCCAAAAAAGAAACTAAGAAAATTAAATCACTCTATCCATGTAAAAGTATATGCTTCTCTAAATAACTAAATAAATTATCTCAGGTAAAGTATCAGATCAACATGAGGTAATGAATCTTTCATGTACTATTTCACAGGAAGAGTTGAGAAGCTTCATGAGATTCCAACTCCATTTGACTCTTCTTTTCTTTGAATTCAATTTCTACTGAACCGGGATGAACATTTGTTTTCTGTAACCCACCTCTAAAATCCTTCAATCAAATGAACCTTACAATAAGATTCCTCAAATACATTGAAAAAAAATTAGTAGGAATTACATCTTAACAAAGACATAATTCCTAATAACTCTAGGGAAGTTTCAATATCTGCCACATTTGGACTGAAGTATTTTGATGTAGCACTAATTTAAACTGGTCATTATGAGAAGTTTCCCCATATTAGACCTTCCTTCCCTTTTTCCTTTACATTGCATCATTTAGGCTGGAAACCCAGAGCAGGGATTTACTTGTTTGCAACAAAATTACTCCAGAGCCTTTTTAGTTAAATGGGTAAAACAATATCCAATTTAGAGATTTAAAGGATTACCTCTAAGTTGCCATGTTCATATTTCAGGAGTAGCAAGTTGGCTCTCTCTCTTTTGCTAGACACTGGGGACCAAGGCCAAAGTTCATCCTTTGCAGCAGACCACCAGCAAATAACCATATTCTGTATGTTATTTATTGTCAAATGACGCTTCATCCTTCTGCTTCCTAGTCCTGGTATATCAATGTAAGATACCTGAGTAAGAAAAAATGCAGGGCAAATGTGAAATTACCAAGCAAATACAGTACATGGGATTTATTTTACATACCAAAATAAATATATAAAACCTAAATATTATGCCTAAACATTATTTCATACTTCAAGTCCACTGATAGCACTGCTTTCAGCATGTCCTATAAGTTATTTATCAGTTCTCAGTCTTAGCATTTCATTTATAGCAATAACTCAAAATATGTCAGAATTATCTAGGATTACAGCAGAATAAAGGTAACTTTGGATTTATAATGTGCCAGTCAAATACATTTAGACAATTATTTTTTCTCCTCAGTTTCAATATATAAAACATAAACAAAAGAGACGGTCTTCCAAAAAGTATTAAAAGTCTGAATATGAGTGGAAAGTATAGAACTCTTGGCTGTGTTCTGTTATGATAGTGCTATTTCTTAGATGTAAGAAAGTGGGTCTTGAGTGCTACATTTGCAGTGATTCTCACTATACTAAGGTGTGTGAGAGTATGTGTATATTGTTTGGATGAGTGTATAAATATATACATACTATAGACATGTATGTGTGGGAATAAAACTTTGGCTTGGGTTTGGGTAATGATCAATCTAATACTTTGTACATACATGCTTGTTTAAAGGTCACTGAGATAGTGTAAGGAAATTTCACAATGAGAACGATAAGAATAAACACAAGGAACTAGGAAACAGCTCAGACAGCAATACACAAGTCTCAGACAGCAATACACAAGTCTATACTATATCTGAACTATTGTAACCCATCATGTGATTATGCTTGCTATGTTTACCATGTACAAAAATCTCAATAAAAGGGAGCGCTGGATTTTTGTTCTGGGCTCTCATCCCAAGAACACTCGCTTGTGTCTCATCTTTTCCATGAGAGACCACCACATGTATGGTTAGGATGTTCTGAACTTTTGCATATGAATATTATCACAGCTTCATGAGGGTCTCATTGATACATGAAGAGAGTTTAAGTAAACTAATACTTACTATTAAAGATTGGTTCGTGTTCCATTTATGTAATACTGTAACCTAAATTAACCAACATATAAAGTGCAAGTGCAAAATAAATAAATAAATAAACTGTTTAGATTCAGTAACGCGGGGTGCCCCACCCCTGGTCTTCAACCCAGTATTGGCCCATGGCCCATTGAGAACCAGGCCATGTTGGGTGAGCGCATGAGTGTACAAAGCTCCATTTGTGCAAGTGGATGGCGCACGCATGAAACTGTGCCCTCTCATTGCTGTTGCTGTTAGTTAATAAAGCTGGAAAGGCTGAGGACCACTGCAGTAACATACACACATTTACCTCCAAAAACTGCAAGCAAAAGCTTCCTCTAATTGGTTATTAGTGTTTTAATTCACTAGATACAAAAGCTGGCCTATTCTTCTATAGCAAACTGCTTCAACTGAGTAGCATCTGAGCATGAAATAGTAGGTAATTTCAGGTTCTGAACATATCTATGGAATTTAGGTCTGGATTTTGACTTGGCCATTTTCAGAAACTGAGTTTGTTCTTGAACCATTATCTTGTCAACTTGGCTTATATGTTTGATATAGCTATCTTCCTGCATGATTTGCTCAGGCTTAAACTCTTGCAGAATTCTTTGGTGCAGAGCAGAACTCCTAATATCTTCAGTAATGGCAACTGATCCAAGCCCAACCACCATACCCAAACTATGACCCTTTGATGCCTGCCAGTTGGCATGTGAAAGGCAGTATTTGACTTCTAACAGTTAAAATTACATATATAGCCTAAAAAAAATCCAATTTGAATTCATCTGTCCTTAAAACATTCCTCCAGAAGCCTGGGGTCATCCAGGTGTTTTTCATTACATTTAAAGAAAAATATTCTTGTAAGCAAAGGTTTCTATGTTGCCATTTTCTTTTGAATCCCATTTTACTCTCTCTGCTTTTCTCCTGGTAGAGTCAAGGGAAATGATGCCTGCTGATCCACAGATATTTTTCTGAGTTTTTTTGCGGTTTCCTCAATAGTTTTTTTGTGGCACTGACAAGGTGGCCGCTTTTGGGAAGATTCACTATTGTTCCAAATCATATTGTAGGATGGTATCTGATATTGATTGGTTGAGACCAGAATGTTTAAAATGAGTTTGCATATTTTTCCAGATTGATAATTATCAGTTGGTTTTTTATGAGGCCTTCAAATATATATTTTTGTGCCCCTAGATACCATGTGGTACAAATTTCCCTGTGATGATGGTAGCCAAACTGTGTGTAGAGGACAAGGCTGGCCCAAATCAATCCTTATTGTTTATTGAAATGTCACCTAAGTCTTAGTTATTCCTTTAATTGAATTAATTATACTGTGAACGGTTTTCACACTTGCACATTGGATGTTGAATTATTTTGTTTACAAAATAAATGAAATAAGGCCAAACTTTAGTATTGTCTGTTTACTCAGATTCTCTTTACATATCAGTAGGCCTCAAATGACACTCTGATTTATACTGAGTGGCAGAGATGTACAAACCTTCAGAACATTCAAGAGTCTGCAAAATACTTTTTCATGGAGTATTTTTTGTGTGCATAACATATACATACATAAAGTCATACAAAATTGTAACATCTCTTTAAATGTGCAAGAAAGCCTGTTACATTTTAATAGCCAAGAGATGTTAGATGTGTGTATGAAGGTATACATATAAGGTACATGCATTATAATTTACACTGGGAAAATGAAAGAATGCTACTGGATGAGATGATGCAAATTTCCCTCTCCTTAAAAAAAAAAAAATCATGAATTAGAGGAATTAAATCATGTGCAAATTTATTTATTCTTATTTTATTTGATTTGTCAATTGCTTACAAGATAATAGGTATAAGTATAAACATGAGTAAGAATACAGGAAATAGGTACAAATAAATGGGGACAATAGGACAGGGACGGTAGGCACGATTGTGTACTTATGCATGCCCCTTACAGACCTCTTAGGAATGGGGTAAGGTCAAGTGGATAGTTTGAGGTTAAAGGAGTGAGGGTTAGAGGACGTAACAACAGTCAGGTAGTGCATTCCAGGCATTGAGCACTCTGTTGCTGAAGTTGTACTTTCTGCAATCAAGTTTGGAGCGGTTAACATTGAGTTTATATCTGATATGTGCTCTTATATTGCGGTTGAAGCTGAAGTAGTCATTGACTGGAAGGACATTGTAGCAGATAATTGTGTGCTATGCTTAAGTCCAAACGTAGGTGGCATAGTTCAAGGTTGTCCAAGCCCAAAATCTCAAGCCTGGTGATATAGGGTATTCTGTTGCGAGCAGAGGAGTGTAGTACTCTTCCTGTGAAATACTTTTGGATATACAATATATCTGTCTGATATACAGTGCAGATTTCAGATGGATGAGTTGTATTCGAGTATTGGTCTAGCAAAAGTTTTGTATGCTCTAGTTAGCAATTCAATATTTCCAGGGAAGCTGACTTGCGGTTTGAGTTTCTTCGGCGACAGACCAAAACCTCGTCTCTGCAAGGCTTCGATCCGTGCTCGCTGCTGGAGTGCCCTGAACCGGCTGGTTTCGGGGCTAAGCCATCCTGTAGAGGTGGTGAAGAAGTTGGCCATTACTCCCTTTCCTGAAGGCAGTTGTAGCGGTGGTCAGAAATGGCCACCACAAAGAAGAACTCGACCAGAAAAGAATGTGCAGGAAGAAGATAAGAAGAGAAAGTTTTGGTTGACCGGGTCAAAAGCAACAAATAAGGTACCCTGGAATTGAAACTATTAAAAAACAATAACATTGTTCTCTAAGAAGATTTTTAAGCTGCGAAGTAGAGAGAAAAGGGAAAAGATTTGGTTTTGACATTAATAGGCATTTAATGCTGAAAATAAAAAGTCAAAGAGATAATAAAGATTTCTGGATAATTAAAAGCTTTTGAAAACAGGAAAGGAGAGAAAAAGAATAAAAGGGCAGGATCTGGAAGGGAGGAGACTGCCTGGAATTAAAAAGAATTTACAGCAAAATCTCAACAAGACTTCCAAGAGATACATTTTAACAGAAACATCGCAACAAAAACCCCAGGAAGAGAAAGTGGAAAAAGAAATAAGAAACAGCTTGGGACTATTTGGATTACTTGATGATATCTGGATTTTTGGTTATTGTATTTGAATGACTAAAATCAATTGGGTGGCTGTTTAAAACTGTTTAAAATGGCTCCACTTTTAGAAAAACTGAAAATGGAACTTAAAAAGTACAAAGAAGATGCACAAGGGAGAGGTTCTTTTGGCTTCGTATTTCAGTTTTTAGAAATGGAACTATGGAAGCAACAAGAAATGCCTGCAGAACAAGAAGATTGCGACAAAGAAGAAGCCATCTTTAATTAACAAGTAATCTTAGGTGGGGGGGGAGGAAAGGAGGGAAAGAGAATGGAAAGTTTAAGATTGGGAAAAACACTCCCCCCCCCCAAAAAAAAATAGAGGGAAAAATAAGTATAAAATCAGAAAGCAACAGAAGAGAGAAATGCAAAAGAGAGAATTAGAAGTAGAGAGACAAGGGGGTATAAAGGGGAGGGAGATGAGAGGGAAGAAAGAAAGGAAAAGAAGTTATAAAGGACAGAAACAAAATATAGAGAAACAGGGCCTATTTAGAGATAATGGGTGAAAATTTAATGGAAAAAGGGATTCTGCAAAGGTACATAAGATAGTATTGTTATATTAAAAACAGAAATAATTTTAGAAAATATGAAACAATGTATGATTAAAATGTTTGATAAAATAACTATCGTTAATACAGTGGAATGCTTGTCAATAAATAAATGTAACAAAATGAATATTATACATGTCTTTAAGGAAGTATGATATTTAATTGAAAAGAAATGTTAAAGATGTTAAGATTTTAATGATTATTAATGATAGAACTGAATTGGAATGGAATGAGGGTTTATAATTACACATATTTATAATCCTTTTTTAAAAGAATATAGTGTGTATTATAAGAATGTACCAAGCAGAATTTGATTGGAAGTTATGTATTATGTATTAT